CATTAGACTACTACACAGATTGTTCCTCAGATCCAAAAAACAATCAATAAAGCACTTTAAATAAAAAAAAACAAAAACAAAAACACCACCATTGCTAGTGCAATGTGCAATGTGTGCAATGCATATTTTAATCTCATATTCCAAAATGTGGCAGCATTTCACTATGGTAATGACTGCTTCACATGTGAAGCAGTCATTACATTGTGCTATGTATTATGTGCTATGTATTATGATGACCTTTAACAGATGAAGGCTCAAAACCGGCTTGAGTATAATTTGAAGACGCACGTAAGCTGCACTCTTGTTCGTTAAGTTGTTTGTATGTGTCTTTTCTTTTGGTTTAGCAGAATTGTTGTTATGCAGGTTTAAAAGTATGCAGCAAGCCTAATCTCCCCTGAAGCGACAGGATCACTAATCCTGTTTGACTATCAGATGATATGTGGGGAAGTGCAAAGCAGAAAACAACACAGACATTGACACAACACTTCAAATAAAAGTTGTGCATACTGAGAACAAATGAGGCTTAATTATTCATTAGTTAATTAATGTCTGATGTAAAATTCAGCCAAATTATATCATGAAAGGTTTCAGTGGTTTAAGATACTTAAGAATGATCTGCTGATAAGTCAGACAAACACAATCTCAAAATTACGGTATAATCTGCTCCACTGTCTGTGAAGAGAAATAGGATATTTAAACTGATTCAGATATTATACAACTGGCAGGCTTTGTGTAGAAACTATGAAGTAGAAAATGGATCACTAAGCACAATACTGTGTTGAGATGAGCTTACTGCAACACGTGATCCCAGCTCTACACATAAATGATTGATCGAAAGAATCCCATATAACTTTGTGCAAAAGTCTGGAGCCGCCCTTTATTTCTTCATAGAGACAGACTTTGTAGCAATTTTTTTTATTTACTAGTCTTGAGAAATAGTATTCCAGGGTTTCCAGATGTCTTTCAGAGTTTTTTGTTGAACACTGACAGACACTTGACGCTGACTTTTGAGTCATTGGAGCATTAGAAAAAATGGCTCCTACACATACCAGACATCTTAGCAAAAGAGACTTGTACTTGCACTGCAAAAACAGCTCATTTGTCACCATTTCTTTATCTGAATCTATGACAAAGCCCAAGGATACAAATAAATAGAAAAAATAAAAAATATGGGGGTGACTCAAGACTTTTTTACTGTATGACAGGATAAAATGAGCTATATGACAATAGAGACTGTTGGGATTAAATTATTTGAAGTGCCTCAATTCTATGCTTTAACTAAATGCCATATAACCATATAGTGTACTGTAGTATTAAGTGGACACGGCCCTGAAAAATAAGGGCATTAGACTACGTGTCCTTGGGGGGTAGAATGCTGTAGACTTTCGTTCTCGCTTGCCTGGGAGAAGGTAGATAACAGGGGACCATCTTCTAGTGGAAAGTTACTGAAAACACTGTTGTTTAGACTAGAGAGGGACCAGCAGATTGACTGTTTGATTGTAATTGATTGTTTATTCCGAGAAGAAAAACAGGAATGGGATATAACACTGTTTTATATCCCATTCCTGATATAAAACATTCTCTAACACTGAGAGAGAGAAAGAATGTGGATGTTTAGGTTTCATGACTTTGGAGAAATGGTCAGACACTTCGAGATTTGCCGGATACCCTCCCGTGCACATGTCCCGTCCGGAAGTTTGTAATACTCAAAGTGTCTATTGAATAAAGAGATTGTTGATTGAGCATTAAACACCAAGTGTTGTTTTTCCTTCAGCCCAAAGATCAAAGAATTGGGACATTCAACAAGACCAAGCAAACTGAAAGACTTCCAAGCGATGCTTGTTATTGTTTGGCTACCAGTATGGTGTTTCAACACCTCAGTACAAACCTGTTGAGCCATCTCATCAACTTTAAGAAATCTAACAAATGGGGGTTGTCACATAAGGTGTGAGTCAGTAACACTTTGGAAAACATGAAGATAATAGAATTGGACTGAATAACGTTACATCTCATCTGCTTTTCATTCTGGGTAAGTTTCCTTTTATAGTACAATAATAGACAGCAGTCGTTGTTGTTTTTCCTTGTATGATGTCCAAGAAAAAGGCCTTGCTTGCTTTTTTTGTACATTTTGACAACATTTAAATTTAGTAGAGAAAGCAAAAAGGCAACAGATGAATACTGAGGGTACAGACTTTAGTCAGATTCAGGAGAATAGCATTTTAGTGAGAACATGCTCAAAGCTAAAATGTGATTGACTCATCAAATGCAAATGCCCATCATGCAAGAACTATTAAAAAAACAGCAGCTTTAAGTCTCGGTTCCAAAAGGTTAACTGACTTTTTTGTATAGTAACTTTTTTTGTTACTATTAAAATGGCTGTGCTTTTATTTTTGTTAAAAAATTACAATAATAAAGTAAACTGCTATTGAAATTGTATACAAGATCCTAACAACTGCAATAGCTGTCTTGTTTATCGGCACTTGAGAGACAAGTAAAACCGGCAACACCAAAAAGAAAACGCATAAACTAATTCCCAGCACTCACTGTGACTGTTGCTGTTGTTCTATTTTGAAACATAGTGACTCATTGACTTTTTGTTAGTCGATGTTAGTCTCATTTTGTTCATCATTTAAAAATGCAAAAATCACCAATAACTTACTGTTATTGACAAATAGTAGCAAATTTTTTGTTTCCTTAAACAGAAAACAAAGAAACATCACAGTGCATGTGTGTGTGTTTCAAAGTAACGCACAGTGATTTTCTTGTACAAGTTACAGATAGATAGATGCACAGATAGACAGACAGACTGGAGACAGAAAAAAGGGAGTGTCTATAAATAAAACCTGTTGGCATGACATAGCAAGAGCGGCGCCTGTGATGTGTACAGTGGAAGAAACAGCTTCTTCAGCAGGGAAAATAAAGGCAACAAGATTTAAAGGGAAAACATAGGGAGGTGGACTGTTTGAAGGAAAGAAAGAAATGGTAAATGGCCTGTATTTGTATAGCGTTTTACTAGTCCCTAAGGACCCCAAAGCGCTTTACACATCCAGTCATCCACCCATTCACACACACACACACACATTCACACACTGGTGATGGCAACATTGTAGCCACAGCCACCCTGGGTCGCACTGACAGATACATTTTCTTTTATTGTGAGATGGCTTTTTAAATACCCATTTTGTGTATTTTTGGATAGTCTGCATTTAAAACTACTCAAGGGAGACATGATAAGAATAACAACATTTGATCTTATTAAAAAAATACAAATATGAAACTAACCCCCTTATAGCAACAAATTGGCTACTGAGGCAAGAACAGTCTTTTTTTTAAAAAAAACAAACAAAAACAAAACAGGATTTAACATGTTCATTTCAGCTGTAAAGTTGGCCATTTTTTTATCATGGGAGTCCATGGTGCCTGATTAACTACCTTGCAAGAATGAAATCACCATTGGAGATTTTAAACGCGCACTCAATCGACCAGAAGGTCAACCACATACTCAGGGGTGCTTTCTATTTAACATTCACTACTAACAACTCACCAGTAAGCCTGCCCAATGTGGAGGGCCACGAGTGGCAAATTAATTAAATAAATATATAATTAAATAATCCATCACATGTGTCATTATTAAGATACATACATGTCTATTCATTTCATTTAAAACATCAGTGTACTTATTTGAAATTGTATTTATTTGATAGCACATTTTTGGGGTAGCTGTAGCTCATGTGGTAGAGCAGGTCACCTACT